GGGATGGTGGCCGTTAGCTGTAACCACCCCGGCACGCCGGTGCTTGAGCACCTCTGGCTGCTGAGTAAACGCCTCTCCGTGATTTTTTCTTTTTTGTGTGTGTGTTCCTTCCTTGCCCTATGTAATTTTATAGGGAATGAATATGGTCATAATATGACAGTTGGAGAGCTATGTAACTAGTAAGAGAAATTGATTCAATCTTGGGTATTTTTCACTGTTATGACTGTTGAAATACCATTAAGTAAAAACAAGAGAACTGTCTTCTTCCCCTTTGATACGCAGCTCCTATGACATACAACCCATGTTGCCACAGTTGTCAGTCTACCAGTTTTCAGCCCATCAGCAGCTTAGAAGCCATCAGTGTTTAAAAAGTTAATTCTTCCTTTCTGTTCCATTTTCAGCATAAGCAGCAACTTAGTTAAGGAACAGCTCATCATGGTGTCAGATACCACCATGCTTACGATAGTTTCACATGCAGCCAGTCAGTCACCTTATATTGGATCATGCTGAGTCCCAGCCTGGTCTTGATTGAAGCTGAAGGAAATAAATACACTCTAAACGAGTAGATATTTTGAGTTTTACTTGTCTGAATGAATATTTTTTTAAACTCACTTAAGTGCTCAAGATGTAATGCTATGCATCATGAACACCCATTCTCAATTGCTTGTTGCAGCCCCAGCAGCATATGCTTGGAGTTAGTTCCGACTTGTCTTACCTTTTTTCAGGCAATTTTTTCCTGTGGCTGTGTTAGAGGGGTAAAAGGAAAAACATGGAAGTTGTATACAATGTCATTGTGATCTGCATCAGCATAACTTTATGCAGACCAGAAATGCAAGGTCTAGCTAATTCCAACCTCTGTTGAAGGAGATGTGGCATAATTTTAATTGGTCACAGAAGGAAAAAGTTGTTTCCTCTTATGATTGATGCTCAAGCATTTTTTGACATGTTCAGTCCAGAGGGATTTGTCAATGTTATAGTGCATATCTATGAAAATGTAGGATGTAGAGAGGGGAGGAGAGTTTTCAAAGTGCTGCCTTCTGGCCATGTCAGATTAAGCAAGCTGCTGCTGACAGCTAGCTACTAAAAGTGTTTGCCTGAATGCATTAAGCTCTGTGTAATTTTAATCTTACTATAATTTCACTCCACATTGTCTGACCAACTCTATTACTCCTCAAAAAGGGAGGAAGTCAGAGTTAAGTGGATCTCTGCTCTTTCTGTCTACAACTGTTGCCTGTGGGAATTCTTTCATTCATTCTTGATGTGAGACTGCTTCAGCCTTGTGACCAGTAGGGCTAACCCTAATGAGCTTTTCGGTGAAATAACACTGTAGTTGTGTTTGATACTGGATTTTCAGTATATTGCATTCCCAATTTTTTGACTGGTTTAGTTGGCTCCATTTTAAATAAAATAATGGCTGTTTTATAATTTTCTTCTCTTTGCAGATACAAATGATTCTTCTGTTTAACTGAACCATGAGTCTTGCATTACATGATCTGCTCATTTGCTGTCGTCGCCTTGAAAATGAGAAAGCTGTGGAGCGAAGGGTAACAAATTTTCTTTTGGTGTGTGTGCTTCATTTAGCAATGAAGGGAATCATTAATAATTCTTTTTCTTGAAATAATTTTTTAGAAGGAAATTGAAAATTTCAAGCGGCTTCTCCGTGATTCTGAAACAGTTCTCCAGCTGGACCGGAATTCTGATTCTAAACAAGGAAAGCAACTCAACTGGGATGCTGTATTTAGGTATTTTGGATTTTTTTCTTTGTGAATGATCAGTTTTCTTACATGGGACATAATTCTTTTGTTTATCAGGCCTATTTAAATGCTTATATTTCTGCAGATTGATTTAGAGTTCTTGTCAGCTTGTAAACAAGAAATTACTTATGTTAGTCTCTAAAGGAAATAAAGTAGGCAAAAATGAAACACTTATACAGAAAACTTAACTGCTAGGAAACTGATCATTAATTGGGTGGCTGTTTTTCCTTGCAAAAATAATAGTTACATTCTTTAATTGAAAATTATCCTCTGCACCTGTTTTTCAATATATGTTTCATATGTGGATTGTAGATAGCTTATTAGAATTTTTCACATTGCCGACTTATTCAAGACACAGTAGAAGGACTGTGGCTTCTGAATTAAAGAAGCTGTGCTGAGGTTTGTAGAGGCTCATCTTGGATATAATCTGCTTTAGGTGCACTACAAGATTGGACTGAGTGCGAGTGTGGTAAGTTCTTCGAGCAGCTGGGACCAGTGTTAAATTTCATGTTAAAAGCGCATCTGAAGTATTTATTTTCATAGACTGGTGTCTCTTCACCTTTCCATTATGTTTTTTTAATTTGACAGCATTGGAATAGTTCTTGTTTCATAGCTATACCAAAAATATCCTAAGAAGTATCTGATAAATTTTATATGTTGCCTTTGAGATAGCCTGGAAGAATACAAAAATACTCTAAACTGAATACAAATAGTAGACCAGAAAACCTACAGTAATTGTTAGTGACAAAGCCAGTGAAAAGTTTACTCTTGTCTTAGATCTAAAATCTGATCTATGTGTTAATTTTAAGTGATGAAAAAATAGGGCCTGAAGGTTTTCCTCAATAAAAGCAATGAAGAATACTTCTTATTATTTTGTTGTATAATGTTGCAGCATAAATAAAAAGACTCAGCATTGCTTTTTTCCTAATTATAAATTGTATGTTTAGCGTTATGCAAAGTTGAAAGGAACGTTTGGTTCCTATTCAGATTGCTTCTGGGTTACCTTTAAAATTTACAGTTTCTTTTACAGATTATTCCCGTCATGCTTAGACTATAATATATTTCAGTTGGTTTTAGTCTTTGATAATTAGAATTGTGAGAAGAACAAGTACTGGCATTCTAGGCTAAAACAACATTTACCTATTTTACTACATTTAGGAATGTGTAGATCCTTGATTAACCTCTCTTTTATTTTTCAAGTGTCTTACAGAAATATTTCCAGAAAGAAATGAAGAACCTGCAACTGACGAAACCAAATGCATCTGCTTCAACCCAAACGACCAGACAGAAAAAGATGCAAGAAGTTGGAAGTTTGGTCAAATATTTCATAAGATGTGCTAATAAAAGTCAGTAATATATATTAATATAGAATTACTGGTTTGTTTAGTTTTCGTGCTTTGCTTTCAACTTTGAATTTTTACTCTGAAGTAAGTTACCAGGGTAGGGTTCATCTTGCTCACTTCCAGGTGTTTGCAATTTAAATGTCTTCGTGTGAATCAGTCCTTTGTGCTCCTCTGTCCTTGTTGATGTTTGCAGTGCCTTTTTCTAGTTATTCAGTGCACATATAACTGATAGATCATCTCATGAGTAATTTCTTTCTTAGAAGCACTTTAAGAAGATGTTTCCTAGCAGAACTCTGAGCTGTAGGGATATTTTTAAGTAAACATTTACAAACAACTATTTCCAGATTTTTTTGACACACTTTGGGTTAATTACAGTCTCGCATTGTTTCTTCATGTAGGAGGACCCAGACTGAAATGTCAGGAACTTCTGATTTATGTCATGGAAATTATAAGAGATCCAACAAGTTGCGCTGCTTATGGATCTGACTGCAGTAGTATACTCCTGAAAGATATCCTCTCAGTTAGGAAATACTGGTGTGAGATATCCCACCAGCAGTGGTCAGGTAACATTTTTAAGCCTACTTTCAAATGTTTTTAATTTGTTTGGTGCCCTGTTATGTGAGGTGCTACACAAAACATGGAGTTAAATAGTGTCAGCATTGAAGGCTTACAGTTGAAATAAAGCAGCAAAGATTAGAAATTGATTTTTTTTTAATTTCTGCATACCGTTGGTCCATTGCTTGCTGAAATGTATGTCACATATGATACAAGCTAGTTACATACGCGTGGTTTCCAAGGGGCTTAATGTGTATAACAGATCCATGGGATGTTCGTTCTAGAAATAGCCTGAAAAACCATCGTGTCACTGTTATATGCACATATTGCATATAAAGAAGGACATAGAAAGCTTAAGATTTAAACAGACAAAAACAGGTTTAAAAGTTGGGTAGTGATATAGCATGCAACCTGAACTGAGTGGAAATGCAAACATAATTTTTCACTTTTCTGAAGATCAGACTGGACAAAGTAATCATATCACTTGTAGATGGCATAAATCAAATAGCAGCAAGAATTTTGTATGTGTCGTGTTAAACTGATGGCGATGGTTGGATCAATAATGTGCTACTGTGATTTGTGTGAGGCTGATGAAAGGTCAGCGTGGTGGTGATTCCTAAATGGGCCTTGAGATAAGAAAGCAGAAATCTGTGGAATGCGCCTTTCCTTCAGAAAACTTGTAAATGAGTGTAGAGCATGGATGTGTTCACCTGTGGGCTGGAGTGAACGACCTGAACCGCACGTAATCAAAATGTGGAGAGCCTCGGTACCAGCTGTTCTGATCTGTTGACCTGTTCCTGCTGCCCCTAATTCTTCACTAATGTGTGTGTGGCTGTAAATTGCTTCTGAGTGCTTTTATTGTGTATCTCCTAACACATGAAGCCCACTGTGCTTGAGCTATCCAAGTAGAGTAGAAGCTGATGGTGGAAGACGTTGACTTGTGGAAAGTTGACCATACGGCTATAGCTACTTTGCTGTGTGCTAACACAAGGCAGATTGTATCCCAGCTTAGAATGAATGTAACTTTACATCCAGTGTAGACAAGACCACATCTGTTTGGGGTTTTTTTCCCAGTTAACTTCTGTGAATAATAACATACGGCTGAATTCAGAATGGTGGTTTCTATATATTTAATGTAATATTTTGCTTCAGGCGTTTTTTTGTAATCCTGTGTAACACATATGCTTTTTATATCTATTTAGATATTTGTGACAGACATACACACCAAATGATATATACTCTTTTTTAAATACATTTGCAGAGTTGCTGATCCTTTATAGCCACTTATACCTCAGACCTTCTGGGAAGATTAACAGAGTCTTGGTGGCTCGGATAATTCACACACTTATGAGGGGGTACTGCTTCCAGACTGATGTGCTGAGTTCCGATATGTTTATCTTCTTTTCAAAAGCAATGCAGTGTGCGAGGTATGTTGCAAGTGCTCTTTTGATATGGTAATACCTACTTCTAAAGTATAAGTGATTTTAGATATTTGGGATTAGACTTGGGTAATAGCATGTAATGCTTCTTTAGATGTGTTTTACTGTTCTGGCTTTGAACACCAGTTTAATAAATTCTTTAAAATATTAATAACTTCTGCATTTGTTAGGCAAATAAGATTTGGAATATAGTTAATTCCTAGTATTTACATTTAAACAATTCATTTGAAAAGAAATAAGATTATTTTTTCTGGAACTTCGAGTGTTTGGTTTATGTTGCAGACAAGAGAAAAGTAGTGCAGGCCTGGATCATATTCTTGGAGCAATGAATATCTTCTGCAATAAGTTTGCTGCCAACTGTCGCATACGGATTTGTAAAATAGGGGAAGAAATCTTGCCTACGGTGCTTTATATATGGACTCAGCATAGACCAAAGGATTCTCTAAAGGAATCAATAATTGATTTATTTCGTCTCCAAGTTCTTTTTCATCATCCAAAGGGTGCAAAAACTCAGGAAAAAGGTATGATATAAAGTTCCATTTTTTAAATTCTATCATTGTATGTGATTGTTTAAATTATTGTGCTAACTCTCTGAATTTTGATACTCAGTCTTGGAAACATTAATGGGAGTGATGATTACTTCTCAGTAATTTTATGCTATAGGTTAATGTTAATTTTTCGAATTGTGTGCACTAAGAGAATATTAATTGTTTTAAGCCCTGTAAAAGTTGAAGTTTTTAATCAAAAGATTATTTTAATTACTAAATCAAAACACAAAGTGTTTGAAGAAGAGAAATAATAGTTTAGATTGAGTTTAGATTGCCACATGTATTCATATCTTGGCAAGTTTATTTAAACCCAGAAATTACTACTGTGTTCGAAGTCTGACTTACCGTATAAAACTGCTCAGAGAACATCACTTAGTAATCTTGTTTGTCTCTCATGGCCTGTTTCAGTTACTGCATAATTTAGTTAAAAAATATTTTTTTTTACTTTGTCTACAAATGGCAGAGTTTATAATGTCAGAATTTACATATTGCATTTCATTGAAGTCTTTCCAGTTAGATAAAGATTTGTTTATTAGAAACTTCATTTGTACCCTGATTACTGATATAATATGCTGATTAAATAATCCCTTAACTTTTTTTACTTTATGTATTCTTCATTATTAGACTTGTTTGGCAGGTCTGCATTTGTTGTCAAACTTCATATGCTTTACTTTGATTTTGACTGTATTTTGTGTTATATAGGTAGGTTTACATGCTGTATCAAGTTGATGGTACATACGTTATATCTTTTAATTGGTTTTGCATGTACAGGTGCATATGACTCAACAAAGTGGCAAAGTATCTTACATAACCTCTATGATCTGCTGGTTAATGAAATAAATCTCGTTAGCAGCAGAGGAAAGTACTCTTCAGGCTCCCGTAATGTTGCAGTAAAGGAAAATTTGATTGAGTTAATGGCTGATATTTGTCATCAGGTAACATATTTTTAGCTGAATATAAAGTTGACTATATGCTTACTGTGTTATACGTTTTGCTTTTTAAAGTAATGTGGCTTTTAACACTTCCTCAGAATACTTTACTGAAGTATTAGTACCTTTTTGTCTGTGTTCAGTTGTGTTTAGTTGTTAATTTTTGTGCAGTTTAGGAATGTTTGGACTCCTACATTATACTAGGTTTCGCTGGTGTTTCTTATTAGAGTATAAGCAGAAGTTCTGTTATAGTAAAGGACAGTAAAAATGCTCGTTACCTCTTAAGATGCTTTATGCAGCCATCCAAAGATGAACCAGTTTAGCTTGACATTTCAGTTTTTCTGTAAATACTCCTTCTTTTTAATTGCATATTTTTTTATTTTTCTTTATAAAGGTTTTTACGGAGGATACCAAAGTTATGGAAATTACCCAGTCGTATGCTATTTCACAGAGAGAGTCCAGTGATGAAACAGTACCAAGCAAGCGCAGGAGGATTGAACTAGGTTGGGGGGTAATTCGAGACAACCTTCAACGATCACAGAAGGATTTTGATATCATACCTTGGTAATAACACCTTCATATGAAATAGCACTACAGACATCTTTTCCTGTTTAGTTGTTCTCCTGAATACATTGTGCTTTCAAATTACGTGTCTGCATGTGCTGTAATTATATATCTGTATTGGGTCTGGCTGAGATGGACTTAATTTTCCCCGTAGCAGCCCTCATAGTGCTGTGCTTTGTACTGGTAGCTAGAAGGGTGCTGATAATGCGCCAGTGTTTTGGCTACTGCTGTGCAGTGCTCTCACAGCATCAAGGCTGTCTCTCCAACTTCCCTCCCTTACAAGTAGGCTGGAGGTGGGCAAGATCATGGGAGGGGACATAGCCAGGACTCCTGACCCAAGCTGCCCAAAAGGATATTATATTCCATACCACATGATGGCTGCTCAGCAATAAAAGCTAAGAGAAAGGAGGAGGAAAATGGGGCATCCGTTACTTAGTCCTGCTCTCCAGGAAGTGGTCAGACATCGCCTGCTGATTGGTAGTAGAAAACAAATTATTTTGTTTTCCTTGGCTTCTGCGCATGGCCTTTTGCATTGTTTTATTAAACTGCTTTTATCTTGACCCACAAAGGGTTTTTTTCCATCTTATTTTCTGCCCCTCCATCCTGCTGAGGAGGGGAGTGATAGAGCAGCCTGTTGGGCACCTGGTGTCCAGCCGAGGTTAGCGCACCGCAATATCTAAGCAGTAAGTTTAGATTCCCACAGCATTTGGAAAGTAATGAGTAGCGTTCTTGGCACTCTTACTTTAAAAGCTTGATATCTTTGTTTTGCTAAGAAAGAAAAAATGAGGCCTGGTAAACAATGTTGTAGTGTGTAAGATATTGCTGCTTCTGATATTTTACCTGTCTTTTGTTCTAGATATTACCAGTCCTTATGTTAAGTGGGGTGTGTGTGATCCAGCTTATGAGTATAAGGAAATTAACTTGAGGTTTACTGCTGCCTTAGGACAGCAACCATTAACAGTTGGCCATTCTGCACTAGTTCACACAGTTTGGAGTGATTCCTGGCCTAAAAACTGTTGAAGTGCAAGGCCTGGCATCTTAGGTTGGGCCCTGATTGAGGGCTATTTCGTTTGACATGAGGGACTTCTGAACTGGATGTATAGCTACACATCTTCCGCTGGCTGCTGCAGTAGCCCAGTGTGTAGCAGGGAGTCAGGTCGTTATTAAAAAACCACAGCTAGATTTTTCCAGAACTTACCAGTAAGTAGTCCTAACCCAAGAGTACTGACTGTTTAGCTAAAATAAATCATACTGGATGTTTTTTGCTATTGCCGTTCTTCTCTGTCTTTCTGACTTGGAAACTGCTGCACAGGATACCAGAACAGTGTAGCGGCTTTTGAGTTGGGTCCCGGGCTGGGATGGCAGGTTTGTGTGTATTTATTGCTTGTAGTTTGAGGCTAAGTGGCTATTTAGGATGCGATTGAGAAGTTAACACACCGTTCTGTGTAGAGTTGGCAATCTCCAAGAAGTACTGTTGGTACTGTAATTTACTCACTTGAGTAGATTTGCATCCATTGCTATGAGCAAAACCCTTCCAACTTATGATCTTCAGCTTAAGATTTTGTTCATTAGATAAATTTTATTTTTCTTATCTGCAGAGATTTTGTTGTAATGCTTCCTGTTTATGTAATGTCACCCTTGAGGTCACTCCCTCAGTCAGTGTATAACAGGCTAGTCCAGAAGGAGAAAAATCATTTTTTTGCATGAAATTTTCTTTGCCTGTTGCCAGAAATTGGTGAACTCAATTTGTAATTAATTACTAGTGACAGTGAGGCTAGATAAGCAGCCTTTACAACTAAAATCAGTAGAAATAGTGAATCCTATGACCTTTGATAGTAAACAAATCAACTCAGTACTGGGAAGTACTGCTGGGAACTGCTGGAGAGAGTCCAGCGTAGGGCTACAAAGATGATCAAGGGAGTGGAGCATCTCCCTTATGAGGAGCGGCTGAGGGAGCTGGGTCTCTTTAGTTTGCAGAAGAGGAGACTGAGGGGAGACCTCATTCATGTTTATAAATATTTAAAGGGTGAGTGTCACGAGGATGGAGCCAGGCTCTTCTCGGTGACAAACAATGATAGGACAAGAGGTAATGGGCACAAGCTGGAACACAGGAGGTTCCACTTAAATTTGAGAAGAAACTTCTTCTCAGTGAGGGTGACAGAGCACTGGAACAGGCTGCCCAGAGAGGTTGTGGAGTCTCCTTCTCTGGAGACATTCAAAACCCGCCTGGACGCCTTCCTGTGCAACCTCATCTAGGCGTTCCTGCTCCGGCAGGGGGATTGGACTAGATGATCTTTTGAGGTCCCTTCCAATCCCTAACGTTCTGTGATTCTGTGATTCTGTGATTCTGTGAAGTATAAATGTGAAATGACAATTGGAGAATGTTCATCTTCTTTTAAAGATGCAAATTTATGTATGTTTGATATTAATTGCTTCATTTTCTGTTTTCAAGGTTACAGGTTACAGCTCAATTGATATCAAAGTATCCCATGAGTCTTCCTACCAGTGAGTTACCTCCCTTACTCAATGTACTTCACCAGTTACTGCCTCAGCAGCGCCGAGGAGAAAGGACCCCATATGTGCTGAAGTGTCTTACAGAGGTAGCTTTGTGTCAAAACCAGAAAAATGATTTGAAGAGCACCCACAAGTTGGAGCTCCAGAGAACCTGGGCAAAGATTTGGTCTCTTACCATTCGTAGCGTAAGTTTCCAGCAAATTGAAGTGGAGAGCTTTGGGCTACTTGGAGCTATGATTCAAGGAAACCTTGTTGTTACAGATAAAGAGCTCTGGAAGATATTTTCAGGACCGGCATACAAGCCTTCAAGGTAAAATGGGAAGCAAAGATAATATTTTGTGTCTCATTCACATTGCTCTTTACTGTGCAACCAATCCACTGTGTTATTCAAAATAATACTATTGTTGTGGCTGTATTTCTAGTTAAGAACTGCACACGTTTGTGTTTTCAGTATTTGAAATGGGCAAAAATTCATATATAAGTCTGAAAGCAGAGACAGAAGAGGAAAGGCAAGTGTCTTCAAATGGACTTAAAACGTAAAATCTGACTGAAAGAGGTGTTGATTTGTTGAAGTTAAAATGGATATTTTCTTCTAAATATATTTTGACTCTCATATGAGTATTCTGAAACAGTCTTTAAAATAGACAGGAAATGCATGTAATAACCAAAATGTGGCTTTTGAAATGCAAAGATTCTAATAAAGGAGTTTTCCATTATGCGTGCTTTTTAACTTGCTTATGTACTTGATGCTCCCTGAGCATGCAGAAGTGCTGACTTTGCTTTAGAGTGATGACCAAATACCAGGTTGTTTCTCACAAATGTCCCATCTTCTGTTTTTGTTCCAGTTCTGCTGTATGTTGTTTATCATTACTGATGTCTGCCTATTTAGTGCCAGAAAATTTAGACATAGGAGTGGAACAGAATAATTGTGAAAGAAGTCTGGATTCTGTGTTAAAAGAGGCAATAATGAAATGGATTCTGTCCTGCTCTTTGGAGGAAGAAATGGAAGAATGTACAGAGTTGCCTCCTGTGCTCTGCAGGTAAAGTCTTTGTGGCATAATTTTGCATGTAAGCTCACCCTGTAACACAGAAAAGTGTTGTGCAGGGAAAAGTGGTTTTGCAGAATTGCATTATACTAATGCTTTGATAGAGTTTGTAGCATTTTTAAGCTGTCATTCTGGGGACATAATTTAGTTTTTTGTCCATAGCATAGCATAGCAGAAACATGAACTTTGTGTTAGAAATCTGAAGTGAAAACTTAAGATTCTTTGAAGATGCACTGTTAATCTGGTTAATGCTTGAGGAATCCCAGGAGCTTGTCTGCAAGAAAATACAGAACAATTTTCTTTTTTTTCTTCTGTTTTACAGTGATTTTCCTCATCTTATATTACAAAAAATTCTTGTGAGCCTTACAATGAAGAACTGTAGAGCTGCCATGATGTTTTTTCAAAATGATGCCAAATGGTAAGTTTTTAAATCAATCCTTATAGTAGCACTTCTGCAGTTTGTTAAGATGCTTTAAGCAGATTTTAAAATAGTCTTTTGCTGACAGAGTCAAAGTTTCAGGTACTGAACAAAATACCTTTATAAGGAATATGTGTATCATCTCTCTCCAGCAATACAGCTAAATATTTGGCTCTTTATCCATAAGTATGTTAGGTATTTTTAACTCGCTAGTTATTTTTTTTTAAATAATTTGTAACTTTTAAAAAGCACAAATACATATTTGAATACAACACTTTCCATTCTAAAGGAAGCATATGTCTTGAGAGTTTTCTTGAAGACAGATGCTAAGTAGAAAGTTGGCTAGATGCTTACTGTCGTTATGTGTTCATGCCACTCCGCCTACATTTGTGGCCTCAGCCATGCATTACTTGAGCCTGTTGGAGTCATTCTGTGGATGGTGGTGTGACTTTCACTGATGCATATATTCAAGCTCTTGGACTATACCCAGTTTCCTCTTAATGAAACTTAAATATGTATCACTTCTTCTGATGGAAGATAAAGATTTTCTTACTGGAAGTTAAAAATAGTAGTTTCAGGGCTTTTGTGAATTTCTGCTCTAGTTGTGTAAAATATGCTTGAGATCAGCCATCTTAAAACAGATGGTGCTATATGAACTAAAGTAGAACATGTGATGTGTGTGCAGGCCTCATTTTTCCTTGCAGTTTTGTCAGACAGAGCTAAAATGATAGTATCCATTCTACAATGAAAGTCACCTCGGAAATTAAAGGTCAACCAGAGGTTGGAAGCACGAAAAGATAAAATATTTTATTTTGCTTTTGTTTATTTCTTGCATTTAAATAATAAAGACTTGTAAGTCATATACTGGCTGCTGGAGTAAAAGTGATGTCTCTTCTTCAAGTGTGCAACACTTGCAAGGGAAAGAAGACAACAGTTTTTCTGATGTTGAAGAGCTGTATCTGCAGACAACATTTGACGACATGGATATTTTCGCTAACTTTGCAGTAAATGTTGTAGATAAAAATGCGACTGGTTCAAGACTTGCCATCAACCAGAACCTTAGGGAAACACTGGAGTACTGTCTTTTAGCAATGTCCGAAAAGCTTTTAAGCATCTATGCTCCTAAGGTAAGTTAGAAATTACTGTTCCAGCCTTATACTTGTGCTCCTAAACAAAATATTTTCAAGGCAAAGTATATAGATTTTCATTCCTTTTGCCACTAAAAGTGAACCACAAGAATTTAAAAAAAAAACTATAACCAATAATATGAAATAGAGAAGTCTGTATTTCTTTACATCATTGGCAAAATAGCCATAGTTTTCCGTAAGTATGTGGGAATACATAGAAGCTGCATAGAAGTGGAAGTGTGTGCAAAGCTGCCACATAAATCACTGCTATTCTGCTTTTTGTGATGTTGGTTTCAACTTCTGTGCTTCTTAAGGCTCTTGCCAGTTTTCTGCCAAAATAGCCTGAGACATAGATGTCTCAAATAGTTATGTTTTGTGAAAAGAGGAAGCTGTGTAAATTAGTAATTGTAAAGAAAGCCTCAAATAGGGATTATATTAACAAGAGCACAGCCAGTGGTCAAGGAAGCTGATTATCCCTTTCTACTTGGTGCCTTCGGAGGCCTTAAGAATAATTAATTATTTGTCTGCTCTTTCTCCTCTCATCCAAATAATTTAGACAGGTAAAAAGTGGTCTCTAAAATACTTCTGCAGTAAGCTTGCATGCATTTACAGCCAACTATGCCATTTGTTTGTTGAAACACTAGCTGCTAAGAAGCGATTTACAAATTTACCAAGATCAGAAGAGACAGCAGTAGAAATGTGATATAGTTCTGGTTAGTTCATACTGTCCTGGCAGGAGGTAAAATAGATAAATAGAGCATATGGGAAGAGCTGGAAGTATTGTTGCGGTGGAATCTAAAGGAAAGTGAGAATTTAAAGTATTGTGAAGGAAGGAAGCGTAAGAGCCATGGGAAATACAGAGAATATTATAGCATGGAGAGCCAAAAGGACTTGTGAGGGAGCTGAGACAACTACAAGGCAAAACACTAGGATGCAAAACTTCATTAATTTTGGTGAAATCTGTATATAAAAGTGTTTAAATAAGACTAAATAATTCTGTATTTTGGTGAAAAAGTTTAAGAATAAATCACTGTTATTCATACTGTGTATTTGATTTAGTCTAAGGTTGTTGCTGCAGAACACCTTGTCCGATGTGTCAGTCTCTTGATTGGTGTTCTTGGTTGCTATTGCTACACTGGTGTAGTTAAAGAAGAGGATGCCTGTAAATCAGAGTTGTTCCAGAAAGCTAAGGTAAGCAGCAATGTGTCTGGGAGCTATTAAAAATAAAACAAACCATTAAATACAAAATAATTTTAAAAATGCTCTTCATATTGACACATCTTCAGAGCATGAATATTTCCACTGGTTTCCACTTTAAAAAAAGGCAGTTGAGAGAGGTTTAAATATGTTACTGCTGCTGGAAGAGAGGTGTCACTGAAATTCTGTCAGTACACCAATGCATCAGTTTTGCAGTGGAGAGTAGTCCAAATATTGATACATTTCTGAGTCACCTCTTTAAAAAATAGATAATAATCATGGACATGTGGACACAAAACTACTTGGAGAATAACCAGTCCATCCATTTATAGGTCTTTTATGCAGGAATTTGTTAAGATCATTTGATAGTTTAAACCAGTATGAAGATAATTGCTATTATTATTATTATTACTGTCTGAGGTGGTTTCATGCTTAAGTATGGAAACCCCAAACTTACATATTATGGAGAGGTGCTGTATATTTCTTTTGTGATGAAAATTGTTTCAGGCAGGTCTAAGCCGTCTTTTTGTCCCTTCTGGATCAGAATGAGTAAAACAAAAATAAAATTAAAAAGTCCAAGCTCGTTGATGAACACTAAATATCAAACCTCTGTGAATGAGATTGTGTGAATGGGTATGAACGACAGTCATGTCCTTTTGTCTGTGTGTGTGTGTGTGCTGTGTATATACCAATGTATAAAGGAATTTAACTGAATTATTTTACCTGTGTTGTACTTTTACTAGTCTCTCATTCATTATGCTGGAGAAAGCATCTCTCAGTCTAAAAACAAACTAAATGAAGATGCCCAGATCAACTCACTGAGGACTTTGATAATGCAGTGTACAAAATGTCTGTGCAATTGTACCAAGGTAAAGTTAATATAGGAATTTATGGTTTTTTCTTTATTAATGAGATCACAAAATTAGAATATCATACATATAGTACCTGAATAAAATTAATTAACCTATCTGTACTCCTTCCTTTCTTACAGAACAGTGCTAAGAAGATACTGTCTAATATATTCCTGCGTTTGTTAACATCAAAATTTATGAATGATCTTGTAGATATTTGTAAAACTCTGGTAAGTATGTTCTGTCTGTTTCTAAATGCAATGGTTTTCTATGAGAGGATAGTTTTTACAATATCATAATTTGGAGGCAAATGAGATACTTATTACTGAAAAAATAAAAAACATTCATTTTATAGATAATTTCTTACTGGAAACATTTGTATTTAGCATTTGAACACAGACATAGGGGAAAAATGAGAGCAGATGGATAGAATTTGATCAAGGATAGCATGCCAGCTCACATTAAATAACAAATTATTTTACTTGTTGGAAATTTTTTAATACTGTATTAGAGTAAAAGTATATACAGATTTTATATCACAGAAAGAATTTCTATAGTACAGGACATTTAACTTTAAAGCACTTGTAAATCTTTTAAAACTTGTATTTATTTTGTAGTTTGTTGGACTTATGTGCCTTAAAACACTTCAGAGGTGTTTATTATTATACATAATAAATCTACTAACTGTAAATGACTCTTTTCTCACTAACAAAAGTAATAGGGTGGCACATCAGTGTTCTTAGGACAACTCTTAAAACTTTTTGGAACTTTGTCCTGTAGTCAGGTCTAAGTAGTCAAAATCCTTTGTTTTTTCAGGTAAAGAGATGCTGAGAGTCTTACCTTCTGTTAACTCGCCGTCTGCTAGGGAAAATAGTAATTAGTGTGCCCTCAAAAAGGTCACATGCCTTCCTTTCATATTGTGAGAAGTTTGTGAGTCTTGTAGAGAGAATTGTTTTTCAGATACTAACCGTGTCCTTGGCACTATCTGAAACACAAAGACTGGTATCTGCCATAGGAAGCTTGTGTCCTAAAGAGAACAGTTCAAATCAAACAGTTGATGTGTGAAGAAGACACACTTATCACAAAGGATGGAATTCATCAGTCCACTCAATGTAGCCCTTACTGTGTTCACCCGTTCTAGTTCACTGAGAAACTCTAGTGTCTTTCCATGTGTTATGCCTTTGATGTTTCTCATGTCCTTAAAAGCCAACTTTTAAAGGACGTGGTGTTTTTCTCAGATGACATTTACTGGAAAACCAGGTGAACTGGGAGAAGTGGATCCAATGGGGAATGATCCAGAGGAGAGTATAATGGAAGTAGATAACCAGGTATCTGATGATCTATTTGATGATCATTCAGTGAGTGACGTCAGTGACACAAACGAATCTGGTGAGATGCAAAATGTGACAGGTAAGTCTTCTCTGTGCAAAACTTTGCAAAAGCTTGTTTGTACAGATTGCTCTTTGCTTGAATGACAGTGAAATACAAAATTGTGCTTCTTTATTAATAGGTGAAGCAGGTACTTTCTAAACAATATATTTCTTTTGTACTTCATTAGTGTTTTAAAGATGTTAATGAAGTGTTCTAGCTCATTTGGAAGGGAGAAATTCATTTTTTATTTCATAACTAGTAAAATATAAGCAGAAAAGCTAGCTAACTTGTCCAAAGTCAGGCAGAAATTTTGGCAAAGAAGAGACTAGAAAGTGCATCTCTAGGATACCTGTGTCTGTCAGTAGACTGTGCTTTGTTTACCTAGAAGTAGTCCTGTTTAACTTTTCTCCTTTTCCTGATCAGTAATTCTTGGCAAGTTCAGCCTTCTTATAGCTGGACCTGGAGAGAGACCAGCGTGAATCTGTTTATTTCTGTAGGGGCTACAAGTACTGGTGCTCTCTTTTGTTTTAAATTCTTTCTTAACGTTGTGTGTATCATAGTTTTTAATCAGGACTATGTATTTTTTTTATTTTATTGATCGAGAAGGAAATCAAAGTGCATATTAATGCCACAAACGCAGGCTGGTCTTTTTTTCCTATCATGTTGAACAAGTGTCTTTAGAAGCATCTTCTCCAGCCATCCGATAAATGATTCTAATAAATTAAGTTTGTGATTGCAGAAAGTTACAAGAGTTCTAGGCGTTTCAGCAAAATGACATTTAACTATTTCATTTACATTATAACTGAAATTTCAGGTAAGATATTAACATAGTAATAATTGCCCTTATTTCAAATTTAAGGAAGATTTGAATCCATAATTTAAAATAATTTACAGTAAACAGCACAGAAGAACGCAGCTGCAGATGGTTCTGCTGAGTTCATTGTATCCTGGATAAAGAAATCAGCCAAATTTATGGGCACATAAAATTAAAAGACTCTGTTTTAGAGAGGGCCTTTGTAGAGGTGAGAGACACACTCAAGAAGCTGTTACCGATACAGTAACTGGTCAATAGCAAAGAAAAGTTGCTAATACTCTATCTGTTCTGAGAACTTAAATGAGTTTTGTTAAGACCTAAAATATTACCAAGTTTTTTATGTCTCTGGAGAAGGATTTCTTATATGAAAATCTTCTTTTCAGGTGCATTGTGCCCATTGGCTGAAGAACAGTTGACAAAGCAGGATTTACTTCTCCTTGAAATTCTGAGATTCTTATGTATTTGTGTAACCACAGTCCAAATTCAGACAGTGAGCTTTCGAGCATCCGATATATGCAGGAAGCTGTTAATGCTTACTGATGGCACTGTCTTTGATAGTGCTAAGCCAGTGCATCTGCACATGGTGAGTGTGAGCTTTTTTTATAGCAGAGCCACCTTTGTATTTGTACTGTTTTAAAATTAGTCTATTCTTGTTGATTTTATGTTTTGTCTTTCTCTTGTTATTGGTCCCCTGAGAAGACGTTGAACTGTCCACTTTTAATGTTCTAAAGTGTGCTGTGGTCAGGGAAAGAGCAGTTAAGATTTGTTGTAAGCCAGAAAGTAGAGTTGAGAAGCTTAAACATCTTGCCTTTATCAGTAATTATTTGTTAAATAGCTATAAGTAGTCTTTGTAGTAGAATAAGAACTGTTTTAGTTTCCAAAGGAGATATTTTTGACTGCTAAAACTGAAATTTACATGAGCCGTATTACCTTGTGTCAGTCTTTGGGTTAAAAGATGGTCAGAGTCTGACACGCAAGAGCTGACGGTAAGTATCCTTGCTGCCTGACTTCATGTAAGAGTTACTGAAAAAGTTTTGTGTTTTTTCTTTTTGTCTATTTATTTTCTTAACTATTATTTTCCATTTTGGTTCTTTTTCATTCCCCAGTACTTGGTCCTTTTGAAGGAGCTCCCTACTGAGGAACACTTCCTGCCTGAAGATGATCTTCTTATGCTTCTTAGACCTCTTTCGTAAGAGAGAAACTATTCAGCATCTATTAGAGCTATTTTAGTTCAACGGCTAGAGGACCTGGGAGCTCTGTAGTGTTTCAAGATACTTTTTCTTTCTTTCTTTTGCAGTGCTGTGTGTTCTTTGTACCATCGAGATCAAGAAGTTTGTGAAGTAATTCTGAATAGTTTGCTTCCTGTAGCAGTAGGGCTGGCCCAGTCCAACGCACATGTTGAAGAGACAAGTTATGCTCAGGGACAATTTTTGACAGTTGTTGGAGCCTTTTGGTATGTTTTAGCTATTAAATGCAGAAGTCTCTTGGGCATACAACTTTTTACTTTGCTATCAGTGTGAAGCCTGTAGTGCTGCTGTGTGTCTTGCTGTTGGTATCCTATGATATCTTTATCCAGCATTTAACCTACTAGATTTTCTGCATCGTATCATGTTTAGAGCAAAGAATCCTATCGTGATTAAGATGGTATTAGAACAGTAAATGCTACACTGTTGTGTATTAACAAAAACTGATTGTACTCTGAATTGCATCAGCAATTATAACTAGTGATAACTTCAGCAACCAAGAAGAAATATTGTTTACAGTTTTAGATTATCAATAAAAATGACAAATCCTTCCCAGCGAGCCTGTTGAGCACAAAAGACTTAACTGTGAGCTGTAGAAGCTAACTTGTTAGACTTGTTCTCAGAATTGTTGTCAACTTTTTCCTGTATTCAAATCTTCCTTATTTTAGGCATTTAAGTCAAGGAGGGAAATGCACAGCACCAGTAAGAGTGGCCCTTTTAAACTGCATGAAAGCCCTGCTTGAGGTAATCCCAGATTTTCTGACTTTCATTAGCATGTTAGGTATATACTAATGGTCTACTTAAAAACAGTATCTAAAAATCTTTTGCATACATCAGTGTATATTCCATTGTAGGTCTTCTGTGTATTTTAAACCACAATATTAATTTTATTCAGGCTGATCCTCATTGCAAGTGGGCGATCCTTAATGTAAGAAATGAAGATCTACGTGTGAGTGATGCTTTCCCACATTTACTTGCAGATAGTCACCATCAAGTTCGCATTCTTGCTGCAAAGTCAATTACCAGGTGATAACGTAGATCTTTTTTCCATTTATAAGAGTAACGCTTAATTTCACTTAACTGGGTGTTACTTCTGCTACTGTATAGCTCCTCTTTTCAGTACTTCTGGGACTTTAATCTTGATGGAATATAAAATCCTACCAAATTACTTTGGTTAAGGTTGTCAATTTTTGCCTACATTTCAGTTATTCTGTGATAGGAGATCTATATGTGTATATATATATATATATATAGAGAGAGAGAGAGAGAGAGAGAGACCTATGTACAATAGTAAATTTTGCACTAAAATTGTTATGCAAAACTTAAATAGGAAATAGCTTTTTATCCTCTAGAAATAGATTACATACATTGTGTAGCATAAAAACTTTTTCCAGGTATCGTGTGTTTTGAATACTGTATATAGTTCTTTCTCCATACATCAAAAATTATGTAATTGATCTGAAATGGAGGTAGAAGAATGATGTTCAGAAGTATGAAATGCTTTATGTACAGCTGCTGATTGCATAAACTCGAGTCCTTCAGCACAAAAAGAGTTGCAGGAGGTCTAAATTAACTGTACAAAATCTGGAGTAGAACAAAGTGAAGATGGCAGTCTTTTCCACTTTAAAGAATCAGGAACATCAAGTGAAGCTGACAGATTGAAGAGTCTAAGAAAATATGGTTTACTTTGTACAACATTCAGTTATCCTGAGTGTTATCCTACTGCCTTCACTGAATGTTTACAGGGGTTCAAAAAGCAAAAAATTCACAAACGAGCAAGTAATTGAAAGTACTAAATACGGTCACCACTTCTAACTCATAATCTGCCTAGGCCACCTGTGGACAAATGTTATATTCAAGGAATTATTATGCATACAAGGCAAATGTGTGGTGATCTTTCCTAGGTATCTGCTAATAACCACTTAGAAATGGCAAGAGTACCATTTGGTCTGATCCACTGTGGTGGTCTCATTTTTGTTAGGGCAAAGTGGGTTGGGCCTTTATCTAAAAAAAAAAAAATCTTTTATAAACTCTTTTTATGTATACATCTGTTCAATAATACATATTCCCAAAGTACTTCATGACATGAAATGTTCAGTTATGATGGATAACTGAAGTTTGGCTTCCTGCACTGGCAGAGATTGGGAAACTTTTATATGTTTTCATGCTGTTCTCTGCCATTTCACCCCAAGAGATATTCTTCGTGTTCTTGATAATGTTTGAGTGAGAGGAAGGAAAGTTAAGAAGAAAATAACGATATCCAGAAAATGAGATACTTATTATTTCATACGCACAACACACAGTAATTCTGTAGACTTCGTGTTATGCTAATAATTATTGTTCTTTCTTTGAAGTTTGTTTCAAGATGTGAAACAGAGAGATTCTTCTGGAATGTCAAAACCTCTTCCCTTGAAGCTCCAGCAAAAGGCTTTTGAGAATGTGTATCTGAAAGTTCAGGAAGGAATGAGAAATCTGGTAATCTTTGCCTAGGTTTCATCTGATCAGTAAGATGACTTTTAAAATGATTGTGTTTAGCTTTCTGAGAATATTAATCCTTCTGGACTTCTGATAATCTGAGGTGGTGCAACAAGGTGGCAGTCAGGCAATTACTTACACATTCAGTCAGTCACTGTTTTGCCCACATCAGAACTTTATAAACTTTTTCACTGTGTGTTCCAGACTGCTCTTCTGTATTATACTATTTGTTGTTGCGAGTTTTAGTTCTGTAGCACTTAAGAATCAAAGAAAAATGATGCCTCACTATTTTAGACAACATATGAATAGTGAATAAAAGGCAATGTAAATTCAAATTATGTGTTTATGTAGTATCAAAACAGCTCTGTAAATTTCAGTAAGATCATGTTTCCAGGGGTATTAGAGCAGTGGTTTTCACAAAACTAAAACTTGCTTAAGAAAAGTAAACTATTCAGAAGAAACTTCAAGTGAAGGAAGACTTTTACTCAAGTGCAGTGACTGGAAATGGTGTATATTACTATGGAATTTCTTTATTAATTTTTCTGTTACTGTCTGTCACTTTTCCTCCTTCCAAGCTACCATAGTCATCTGCATCATCTACATTATCCTTTTTTTTTCCTTTCATACTATCATCTGTCTGCATGTCATCTCTCTGACACATTTTCTGTTTCCTTTGACTGCTGTCTTGTAGCTTGATCTCATTGCTGAGGCCTCATCTCTGATATCTCATTTCACCTATCTGTACTGTCACCTCCAGCTCTTTGTCATCTTGTCTCATTTCTTTGTTGCCTTTGCTCTCTGTTCTGTCGCCTCAGCTTGCTGTTGTCTGTTAGCTTCTGCGCTTTCATTGCAGTTTCTTGTTACTTTTATTCAATATCCATCCCTTGCCAACACCATGCCTTAACAGGGGAAGAACTGCATTTGAATTACGAGGCAATTCTTTCCTATTTGCCTCAGGGAGGAGCAAAAAGAAGACTTGACTTGTCAATGGCTCCATCATATCTCTGTTAAGTGCATTGCCTGTGTTTGAACTGCTTGTACTATAACAAGGACTAGAGTGTGATGTATCAGCATGTGTGCTGGCACACTGGAAGCAGTAACTTCTGGTTGAGGAGTGGAGCAGACAGCTGGGGGAAGTAATTTTTAAGCAACCGAAGCAAGATTTCCAGTAGTATTTATATCAATGCTCTTAATTTTAAATTATTTATGCTCATTTATTAATTAGGAGAATGCTTTAACAGAGTACTTGTACAAGTTCTTCATTATTTCTTATTGAAGGTCAGAGCTGATGCAAGTCCTGAAGATCTTTTGGACAAACAGTGTAATGGAAAGGCAGTTTTGCTGATGCTTATAACCATGGTTCTGTGCTGTAGTCCAGTCTGTGAAAAGCAAGCGTTGTTTGCTATTTGCCAGTCTGTGAAAGAGAATGGATTAGAACCTCACCTTGTGAAAAAGGCAAGTATAAAATTCTGTTTAATATGTAAGTTATAAAATAAGATTAGATTGAAGTTGTAGCAGTACAAAATGCTTTTGTCAGTATTGAAAGATGTTAGATTTTGTAAAAGTGTGACTAATGTGAGACTAAAATATCTGAATGAATTTTTAATTATGTTTAATGACATTCATAGAAATAATGACATAAAATGCAATTTTGGTTGTAAATCTTGTATGTTAAAAGCACAGATCTGAAATACGAATAGATTTTTATACATTGAAGGTTGCACATCTCATTTAAGAAAGCCTTTCTACCCGGTGGAAGTAAAGTGAGTTTTCTGATGTGAAAAAGTTGTAAAATAAATGCAAAGTGTTGGAAGATGGTATGTGTCTTTTGGACTCTTACTTTGAAGCTGTTTATACTGCAGCCTCTCATGTCTGTCATTTTTTTGGAGTGTGCATATTCTCTCCTTTTTATCCTTTCTTTCTATTTGTTGCCTCTTGTTTTTGCACACAGATTTGTACTAGCTGTCCTTTCTTTGCATACCACTTCATACAGAGTAGTTATACTTCCTTGATTGCACTCTGTGGAGATAAAATAATACAAATAATTAAAGGATTGCTTATGCTAAATGGGAGCCCAGTTATGCAAATAGTCATTAAAAGGCTGGGGAGGGAGAATGTGGAGGTGTAGTACTGTCAGTTTGCCCATAGTATCATGTACTCTGCATGCTATTTCTGCTATCTTATTTCATGCACAGGTTTTGAAAAAAGTATCTGATGTTTTTGGCTATAAAAGTATAGAAGACTTCATGACATCACATTTGGACTATTTGGTGATGGAGTGGCTGAAAATAAATGACAGTGGTTATAGCCTGTCTGCTTTTCCTTATGGTCTTCTGAACTATACTAGCCTTGAGGAATTCTACAGGTAAGTTTGCTGTATGAAGGCAGTTTATTTAAATTTATTTACAATTGTGACACAGTGTTTCAAGTTTCTGCAAGTAGTAATGCATCAGGATTTTGTTGTAAGATAACAATTTGAGAGCTTTTAAAATGTATTCCAAGTATCTTGTATATTGTATTTACACTGGTAAGATTTTTTATATAGTAGTAACTTAATAATTATAAATTTGGTTATACAGTAAAGGAATGGTACTTGCTATATTATGTTTAAGATTTTTTAAAAAATCCAATTCAAGGATGTTCTGAAAACGTATTTACTACGTGTAGGTCTTGTTATAAAGTTTTGGTTCCACACCTGGTGATTAGAAGTCAGTTTGAAGATGTGAAATCACTTGCCAACAAGATTGAAAAAGACTGGAGACAGGTTCTAGCAGATTGTTTTCCAAAGATACTTGTGAATATCCTCCCGTATTTTGCCTGCCAAAGCCATGGAGAGAGTGAAGTAGCAGAGCAAAGAGATACAGCGTCTAAAGTCTACGACATGCTTAAGGATGAAAACTGCTTAGGAAAACAGGTATCTGTTTTAAATGTGGCATTGAGTTCAATGGCATTTAACAGCCCTGAAAGAAACTTCTGTATGTTCTGTAAAAACGTCAGTAGTACAAGTTTATAGATACAAAATTATTATTTTAATAAAGCCAAATTAGCCAAATTTTTATCCTAAGTTTTTCAAGTATCTATTCAATAGAAACTTTCAGGCAGACAGTTGACTTAATGCATAAATTTTTCAGAATGTAATAATATTTTTTTTACCATTCATTGTACATGCCTGAGTTTCCCTGTTATATATCTGTTTAAGTCATGTTTTCCTCTTAAAATGTTTTGTTGACACTTTATAAGGAGCCATCTTCCCCAGAGGCAGACTATATTCAGAACTAGTAGTAAAATTAAACATATTTTTTTTCCAGATACAGTAGGAAAGCAAATTTTTCTCCCTGCAACTGCCATAGATAAAGACTTAACCAGGCTTAACTTCAGAATTAATTGTGTGTCATGGATAATTGAACAAAAAGAGAACCCACACAGGAAAAAATAGGTTTTCTTAGAAGGAAAATAAATGTTAAATTATTTTAGCTAAATATTTTTTTTCTTACTAAAACACTATTTTTTCTCTTCTAGCAAATTGACAGTTTATTTCAGAATAACTTACCAGAGATCGTGGTTGAACTGTTGATGACCTTACATGAACCACCCGATAGCACAGTAGAAGGAGCTCATCTAAGTAAATATATAAGGTACGCGTTTGTAGATTTTCTAAAGGCTGAGTGTGTTTGTATAGTATTGTGCATTAAAGCATCTCTTCAGGCATAAGTTGAGAATGAATTATTTCATTGTCATTAGTAGCGGTGTGTCATAGACATGCTTTCTCACATAGTTGTTCCACACTATCAGTAAGGAGGACCTCT